GCCTCCCGAGTAGCTGGGACTACAGGCGCCCGCCACAACGCCCGGCTATTTTTTGTTGCAGTTTCGCCGGGGCTGGGTTTGAACCTGCCACCCTCGGTATATGGGGCCGGCGCCCTACTCACTGAGGCACAGGAGCCTCCCGCCTGGCTAATTAAAAAAAAAATTTTTTTTTGTAGAGAGGAGGGCTGTATAATTTGCTCAAGCTGGTCTGGATCTCCTGGCCCCAAGAGATCCTCCTACCTCCACCTCCCAAAGTGATGGGATTACAGATGTGAGCCACTGTGCCCAGCCAATAGCTCGTTATTTGTAAATATTTAGTAAACAATTAAGGAACTGCCCCTTCTTTTGCTTAAAAATCTACTTGTCACTGCTGATTATCAGAGTGTACATTCAGGGGAACTTGAATCTGTGCTCCTGGGTTGCAATCCTCAAGCTTGGTTCAAATAAACTCTCTACTTCGATTAATTTTGCCTCAGCTTCTTCCTTTTCGGTAGACATGGCTGGAATTTATAAAAAACCTTTCACTGAGGCAAAGCAATGTTTTTTATTTTTTTTTCTTCACTGCTCTCTCTTTAGTACTTAGAACATAGTAGGTGCTCAGTTAATAAATGAGCGCATGACTGAATGAAGCAGATACAAAGATGAAATTTCTCGAGACCTATCACAGGTTCAAAATAAACATTCCGTGAGTGACAGGAAGGTGCTGATTTGAAAGCACCCAAATATCGCTCAGCCAATTGGAAACCAAGTAGGGGCAGGAATGGTAGGAGCAGAGGGCGTGTCTGACCCGAGGTGCGCTCTTGGAGCATGCGCAATCTTCACAGAGGGTGACGCGGTTGCAATTGCGAAGGCCGCGATTGCGTAGGAGCAGGCTCTGATTGGCTACCGTCCGCGCGCGAGGGGTCGCTCCTACTCGTCGCCAAGTAAACAGGCAGGGAGGGGCGGGGCCAAGGAGACTCCGGGACCCGGTTGGCTCGGTGGGGGTTGCGGGGGGGTGTCGCGGATTGGTAGCGGCCGCGAGCTCTGCTGTGTGGAACGCGCCGGGTCCCGGAGCCGGCTGCCTGAGGGATGGACGAAACGAGCCCACTAGTGTCCCCGGAGCGGACCCTTGCCCGGGACTTCACCTTCCCGTCGGGCTCGGGAGCTCACTTTCCGCAGGTACCCGGGGGCGCGGTCCGAGTGGCAGGGGCTGCAGGCTCAGTCCCCTCTCCCCCGAGCTCGCCGGGCCACGACCGGGAGCGGCAGCCACTGCTGGATCGGGCCCGGGGCGCGGCGGCCCAAGGCCAGACTCATACCGTGGCGGCGCAGGCCCAAGCCCTGGCCGCCCAGGCCGCGGCGGCGGCGCATGCCGCGCAGGCCCACCGTGAGCGGAACGAGTTCCCGGAGGACCCTGAGTTCGAGACCGTGGTGCGTCAGGCGGAGCTGGCCATGGAGCGGGGCATCTTTCCTGAGCGCATCTACCAAGGCTCCAGCGGAAGCTACTTCGTCAAGGACCTTCAAGGGGTGAGAGTGAGGGTGGAGGCTGCAGCAGCGGGCTTGGGACGAGTGGGGCTCGGGAGTTTTGGGCTTCGCACAGCCAGAGGGACAAGGGGGGATTGAAAGGCTGCAAAGGGAGAAACTTCATAGTGAGCTCCAGTAGGGATTTTGAGATGTCACCGTGGACTGGAGATAGGGAACCTCTGCACAATGAAGAAATAAATCAGAACTTATTTGGAGGGGTAGGAGTGAGCGGAAAATGAAAAGAGGAAATTGACCAGATACAGGCCAAGGGCCCAGCGGTGTGGTGGGGCAATCTGCCTATGTACAGAGATACGCGAGGAGATGCAACTTTCTCCTAGGTTACTTAGCTTTAAACTACTGTGACTACTTTTCTGCCATTGAACTTAGGCTTGTTCTCTTTTTTTTGGACCAAACTAGTGTGTTGGGTTTTGGGCCTGCAGCAATGTACTGTTTACTGAGGAAGATGGGTGACCAATCAGGGGCCCTGAGGATTTAGGTCCAGCCTTCTGTGTTGTCGGGGATTTCTCCTGCCACCTTCCCGGCGCTTTTACTGACAGATTTACTGACAGACAGATGACAATAATAGAGTGGGTGGACTCGCCAGTTTCATCTGTCCTGGTTTTTGCTCACTTCTGGGAAAGGGTTCAAATCCTTGTTGATGGTTTTCAATTTAGAATGTGGAGTTTTAGAAACATGAGACTGTCTGCTATCTTTTACTTTAATTTCTCTCCCGAGACTATCAGCAGTTTGCTTTTCAGCTAAGATAGAGTGTTTGCTGACCTTTATTTTGTCCCTTGCATGTGTTGATGGGATGGGATGGGACATGGAGTGACCAGGTCAGCTGAGAAGGAGTCTTTATCCTTTTGAGAACTGCTGAAGAGTTCATAGCATTTGTATCAGATAAAATCAGGTAACATTGGAAGAATGAAAGGACAAGAAATAGCAAGTCTTCCCTATCTTAAATGTTCAGATCTGCCAGAATGGTTCACTGGAGAATTGTTATTGTTATTAAAATGGGGGTTATCAGGTGGAGCCTGTGCTCAGTGAGTAGGGCACCAGCCCCATATACCGAGGGTGGTGGGTTCAAACCCAGCCCTGGCCAAACTGCAACAACAAAAAAATAGCTGGACGTTGTGGCGGGCGCCTGTAGTCCCAGCTGCTCTGGGAGGCTGAGGCAAGAGAATCGCCTAAGCCCAGGAGTTGGACGTTGCTGTGTGAGCTGTGACACCACGGCACTCTACCAAGGGCGATAAAGTGAGACTCTATCTCTAAAAAAAAAAAAAAGGTGGGTATCAAAATTTCTCCAGATTTCCTCTGCATCTCTCCAATTTCGTAAAACTCTTTAGATGGGCATTGTGCTGTTCTGATAGGAGTACTGAGCAGCAGGATGGGCTGTGACATTGTAGCTCTCAGCTTCATTGAATGATTCACTGTTGACCCAGAATTTTGAGTTGTCCCTGAATTATCATCAAAAACCAAAGAGCAGTTCTACCTTCAACTGAGTTAGTAAAAGCTTTGAGAATAACAAGTCTTTCTTAGTCCCTCATATAGGGGAGCTTGAAAGCTCAAAGGGGAACTACCATTTCTAGAACCAATGAGAGGTGAGTACAAGGTAGTTTTATTTATTTACTTTTTTTTATTTGGGAACAGAATGGGACTTAAGATATGAGTCATTTTTGTTTTTTTGGTATTTTTTAGTTTGTTGGCTGGCTAAAATTTAAGAAGAGGCCAAAATTATCATTGATAAGTACTAGAGAAGTAAGATTTTTGTTTTTCTTTCATGACTGTTATAGCTCTGTTGGAAGTGTGTTAGGTCAACTGAGAAGTGATCTGGTGCTTTGACAAGTGGGAGTAATATGATCTCTCAACTCTGCTGGGTGGGTAAGGTACTACCCTCTCAGTATATAAGCCACAGAGGATGTCAGACCATAGGTGTGATTTTTGTGGTTGCAGGATTTCAGGCTATGGTCTTTTCTTGGCGAGGAAATCAAAACACAGAAGCCCTGACAAAACTTATCAGTGGATCCATTCTGTTTCCACTGAGGAAAATATGATTTAGAACAGAGGATCACTTCCTAAATGCTGTGGTGGGTTAGGCTGACCCACAGACTTACCATCTCCTGCTCTGCTCCAAATGTATTTATTTTATTTAACAAATAGTTACATAGCACTTTCCTATATACCAGGTACTGTTTTAAGTGCTTTATAAATAATAACTCACTTAATCCTCATAACTACCCTCAAGGAGGATACTATTATCTCCACAGATGATAACATGTATGCATACAGAGTGTAACTAAGGTCTCACTCCTAGTAAGTGGTAGAGGCAGGATTGGACCCAGGCAGATTGGCCCTGGAGTTCATGTACCATGTCAAGGACCATGTCAAGGACCACTAGGCCCTTCTCCCTCAGAGTTAGCCATCTGAATTTCTGGTTTCTTTTTTCAGCTACTGTATTGGTTAGTATTGAATTTGGCTATGTGTGACAGATATTTTAAGATAATAAGGACATGAAAAAAAGGTTCATTTATCTCTCAGGTAAAAGAAGTCTATAGGCTGCTGGGGCTGGCATGGCTTTTCACTTTATTGGGTATACATGCCTTTTTCATCTAATTGATAGCCATCCTGAGTGTGTGGCTTCCACTTTGTGACCCCAAATGGCTACTCAAGCTGCAGCATCTGTCTGCTTTTCAGCTGGTTGGCAAAAGGAAAGAGAGAGGGAGAATATGCCTTTACCCTGTAAGGCACTTTATATAAATTGCACCAGAATCTTCTGCTTATATCTCATTGTCTAGAACTTAGCTGCAGTAGTAAGCTGAGAACTCTAGTCTTTAATTATTTATCTTTTTGCCTAGCTAAATATCAAGGGTCTTGTATCCAGAGAAGAAGGAAGAACAGACATTAGGGGAACCAACAGTTTCTACAGTAGCTTTAGAATTTAGTGGAAAAGGTTTTTGAAGATAACAGCCCTGATTCCATTTCCCTATTTTGGAAGGTTTCTGCCCCAGTGGTGACCTGAAACAGTAAGATGGAAAATGATAGATTAGAAGTCATGGTGGAGAGTGTTCCCATTACCCCTCCTCGCTTACATCTTTCTGTTTGGGATCTTGTACTTACTTAACTACAAAATTTGGGGGCATTTTCTCTTTTGTTTATAATAATACTAGATGTTCATATTGCCACGAATCATAGAACAGCATGTGACTTAATAGTTTAAGAAGATTAAATCAGATATCACACATGAAAGCCCCTGGCATAGTTCCTGGTGCTTAGTGGAAGCTCAGAGTCTTTTTCTTTTGAAGTTACATACCTACTGCTCTCTGGATTAGGCTTTCTTGGATACATGGCATTGAATAAGGAAAAAGTAGTTTAATTTTTTTTTTTTCTTTTGAGACAGAGCCTCAAGCTGTCACCCTGGGTAGAGTGCCTTGGCATCACAGCTCACAGCAACCTCCAACTCCTGGGTTTAAGTGATTCTCTTACCTCAGCCTCCCAAGTAGCGAGGACTACAAGCACCTACCACAACCCCTGGTCATGTTTTGGTTGCAGCCATCATTGTTGTTTGGTGGGCCTAGGCTGGATTCAAACCTGCCAGCTTTGGTGTATGTGGCTGGGGCTTTAGCCGCTTGAGCTACAGGCGTGGAGCGTAATTTTTTTTTTAAGCTAGTGTCTTACTTTGTAGCCTAGGTTGGAGTACAGTGCCATGATCATAGCTCATTTGTAGCCTTGAACTCCTGGGCTCAAGTAATCCTCTTGCCTCAGTCTCTCGCTTTTTTTTTTTTAGAGACAGAGTCTCTCTTTATCACCCTTGGTAGAGTGCTGTGGCGTCACACAGCTCACAGCAACCTCCAATTCCTGGGCTTAGGTGATTCTCTTGCCTCAGCCTCCTGAGTATCTGGGACTACAGGTGCCTGCCACAGCACCTGGCTATTTTTTTGTTGCAGTTTGGCCAGGACTGGGTTTGAACCCTTCCCCCTCAGTAAATGGAGCTGGTGCCCTACCCACTGAGCCACAGGTGCTACCCTAGCCTCAGTCTCTTGAGTAGATGTGACGATAGGTGTATGTTTGGCTAATTTTTCTTAGTTTTGTTTTTCAGAGACAGGATCTCACTATGTTGTGCAGGCTAGTTTTGAACTCCTGGCCTCAATCTTCCTGCTTCAGGCTCCCAAATCATGAGAGCCACTGGGCCTGGCAAAAGTAGCATAATTTTCAGAAGATGCTTTCATAACCATTGAGAGGAGGTACTCGTTAGGTAATGCTAATTTTTGTTGTTGATGTTGCAGTTTTTTTTTTTTTTAGGCTGGGGTGCGTTTGAACCGCCACTTGTGGCGGCCTGAACCCGCCACCCTCAGTATATGGGGCCGATGCCCTACCCCTTGAGCCATAGGTGCCACCCAGGTAATGCTAATTGTTATTTGCATCAAAATATGAATTACAGTGCCCACATGTTATGGGGTTTTGGCCCATATCAGTGGTTTTCAACCTTTTAAAAATACCTTATCCAGGCGGCACCTGTGGCTCAGTGGGTAGGGCACCGGCCCCATATACTGAGGATGGCAGGTTCGGGCCTAGCCCTGGCCAAACTGCAATAAAAAAAATAGCTGGGCATTGTGGCGGGCGCCTGTAGTCCCAGCTACTCAGGAGGCTGAGGCAAGAGAATCACCTAAGCCCAGGATTTGGAGGTTGCT